GGGGGGGATGTACCTCGTCCAGGGGGACGTGGCCGATGGGGGTGCCATTGATCTCCAGGATGCGATCGCCCACGTGGATGGAGTTCTTCATGTCAGGGCTGATGCAGTCTGGGTCCACCCTGGGGGGCCAGCAGGAAGCAGGGTCAGACCCCCAAGAGTGTGCTGGGACACTGCCCACAGGGTCGCCTCCCTGACATCCTCACTGGTGGAGATGTGCTGGGACACTGCCCATGGAATCACCTCCTGACACTGTCACCACTGAGGATGTGCTGGGATACTGCCCATGTCCCCCCCCCAGTCAGCGGGGAGGGGACAGGCTGGCACAGCCCCTGCGAGTCATCTCTGGGGTCACACAGTCACTGCACCCACGAGCCACCCCTGCAAGATGGGGATGTGGAGGCAAGATGCCCACAGGCCACCCACTGTTGGTCAGGGACATGCAGGCATGATGCCCTTGTTGGATGGGGACATGCTGTCATGACACCCACGAGTCACCCTTTGGGATGGGGACACACAGTCATGGTCCCCACGAGTCACCTCTGCTAGATGGGGACACGCAGGCACAGGTCCCTCCTCCTGGACAGGGACATGCTGGCACAGTGCCCACGAGCCACCTCAACCACATGGGGATGAGCCAGCCTGGGGCACTGCCAGGATGTCACCCCCCAGCCACGCTGATGGCCAGGGACAAATCAGCGTGGGTCCCACAACACCCCCCTGCAGCTGGGGACGTGCCACCCCGGCCAATGAGGACCCCATCCCTCCTCCTCCCACCCCAGAAAGTGTCCCTGGGGTGGATCCCAGCAGCAGAAGGGACACAGGATGGCCCAGCCCCGGGGCGGGGCGGGTGGCAGAGGGGACAGGGACGCACTCTCGGACACGGACGGTGCGGGGGTGCTCAGTGCCACAGCCCTGGTCGATGGACACTGAGAAGCCGCGTTTTCCGTCGGAGCAGGCGGGGATGGAGACGAGCGTGACGGTGTGTGGGATGCGGGAAGCCGGGGAATCCGGCAGGATCTGCTCGATCACCGGCGTCACCACCATCTGGTAATAGCAGTGCCCGCTGCGGGGACAAGGGGAGAGAAGGGTGGGTGGGGGGTGCCAGGGGATGCGGTCCCCACCCTCCCACGCGGGCTGGCACATACCAGTAGAGCTTGGAGCGCTCCACCAGCGCGTAGGTGTCCCCGTCCCCGATGAACGTGCGGCAGTTGAGGCAGCTGAAGCACTCGGGGTGGTACTTCTGCTCCCCAGCCACCTGTGGGCAGATGCCATCAGCCCCGGGACCCCCGTGTCCGGGGCACCGAGGGGGAGTGGTGGGGTTTGCATGGTGCTGGGAGCACCCACGGGTGCACTGGGCACAACGGAAGGGCGGGCAGGGTGGTGGGGACAGAGGTGCCACCAGGCTGGGAACGACTGCAGGGACATCCTCCCACCACCCTGAGCCTCCCTCAGTCCCACCTAAAGCGTAAACCCCCAAAGCCCAACCCGTGCTGGGGGTCTGCACTCCCTCCCCACCTCACCCTTTTCCAGGAGCTCAGCTGTGGGTCAGGGCTCCGTGTCCCACCCCAGGGACCCCCAGGGACCCCCTGGTGCTCACCATGACCAGCCCCTTGGTGATGTGCTCGGAGCAGCCGTGGCACAGCTCCCCAAAGCGTGCCCAGTAATCCTTCTTGCAGTACAGCCGCCCATCCTTCTCGTAGTACTGGTGGGACAGGGAGGCCCCGCACTCGCAGCACCTGTGCCAGGGACAGGGACACCCTTGTCACCCATCCCCATTGTCACCCCAGGGCACAGCCAGTGCTCCTCCACCCCATGGATCTCTGGACAAGCTGCTTCCCCTGTTTCCTACCCCACTGCATCCGTGTGCCACCTTCCCCAGGGTGGCAGCAGGGGATTCCAGGGGTGACAGTGCAGGCTGGTGCTGCAGGGACATCTGGGGACACCAAGCTGGGACAGACATGGGGTAGGGAGGTGACAGCCCAGCATGGACCTGCCAGCCTGGGCATGGACACACAGAGGGATGTGCCAGACCAGTCACAGACATGCCACCCTGGTGACAGACGTGCCAGCCTGGCACAGACACGCAGAGGGATGTGCCAGCCTGGTCATGGACAGAGAGGACATCCCACCCTGGTGACAGATACACAGAAGGACATGTCTCTCCATGTATGGCTACGGTGACATGCCAGCCTGGCACAGACACACAGATCGATGTGACAGGCTGGTCACGGACAGAGGGACATCCCACCCTGGTGCCACCCTGGTCACAGACGTGCCAGCCTGTCCATGGTCACACAGGGGGGATCCTGCCCATGGATCTGTCACTCTGGTCACAGTCAGAGGGACATGTCCCCTTGGTCACAAACCCCCAGACAGAGGGACACGCCATCCTTGGGGGTGCAGTGCCCCAGGGGGTGCAGGGGTTGGGGATGTGCTCGGGGGCTGCCAGGGGGTGACAGGGCTGTGCCACAGGAGGGGGCACCCAGGGGTAT